ATGTACCCGATTTTAGCAGAAGTTCTTTCTCCACTTCGGGTACGAGGGTCGGCGTAAAATCGGCCACGAAGTCAACCAAGATTTGAGACTTGATGGCCGTTTGGGGTTGATATTCGATATCGTTACCCACCAAGTTCGACTGCCCATTTGGCCAATCGGCCTTATAGTTCGGGCTTATGCAAAACATTTCGGAGAGGATAAGTGGGTAACACATATATTGGGTGACACTGGAAATATGGCTTTAACTTTCTAGATGTGCTTATTAATGCAAGTGCTAATTTTTCTAAGTGAGGGTATCTGGTTTCAGCATCTCCTAGAGTTCGGCTTACATAATAAACAGAGAATTGCGTATCTTGCTCTTCTCGAACTAGTATCCCACTTACCGCTATCTTGGACACATCCAAATATAAGTAAAGCTTTTCATCTACCTTTGGGGTGTGAAGTAAAGACGGGCTCGATAATTATTGCTTCAATTCTTCTAAGGCTAGCTGGCATTCCGGGGTCCTTGCGAAATCCTTTTTCTTTTTGAGCAAGGAAAAGAACCTATGACTTCGATTTGATGACCTCGAAATGAATTGACCCAAGGCAGCTATTCGTCCTGTTAGACTTTGCACGACTTCCACACTATCCACGATTGTGATATCTTTGATTGACTTGATCTTGTCGGGGTTGATTTCGATCTCCTATTTGATACTATGAAGCCGAGGAACTTACCCGAGCCGACTCCGAAGGCACATTTTTCTGGGTTAAGCTTCATGTTGTATTTCCTTAAGATTTTGAATGTTTCCTGCAAATGAGCTAAATGGTCCTCTGCGCGCAAGGACTTAGCAAATATATCGTCAATATACACTTCCATTGATTTACCTATCTCTTTCTTGAACATTTTGTTAACTAGGCGTTGGTATGTAGCTCCTGCATTTTTAGCCCAAAGGGCATTACATTGTAACAATAAGTTCCAAACTTAGTGATAAACGAGGTCTTCTCCTCGTCCCCCGGGTTCATCTGAATCTGATTGTACCTGGAGTAGGCATCGAGAAAGGTGAGAATCTCTTGGCCGGCCGTGGCATTGATCATGCGATCGATATTAGGCAGTGGAAAAGAGTCTTTAGGGAATGCCTTGTTAAAATCCTTATAATCTACGCATATTCTAAGTTTGTTCCCTTTTTAGGAACTACGACCATATTGGCTAACCACTCGAGGTATTTTACCTCCCGAATAGACTCTATTTTAAGAAGTTTGGTTACCTCATCCTTTATGAATGCATGCTTCACCTTGGACTGGGGCCTCCTTTTTTGCTTTACTGGTTTGAACCTGGGGTCGATGCTTAACCGGTGCATTGTTATTTCTGGTGGGATCCCTTTCATGTCTAAATGGGACCAAGCAAAACAATCCATATTATCGATAAGAAATTAAATGAGTTTTTCCCTGAGTTTAGGGTTAATCCCGTTCCCAGGTATACCTTTTTCTCGGGCATGTACTCGATCAATATGACCTATTCCATCTCCTCGACCATCGACTTGGTTGCGTCTGACTCTTCGGGAACAACAAAAGTTTGAGGAGTAAGGGAATCCTCTTCCTCTTCTTCGATTACCTGTTCCTCCGGCTCGATTGGGGCTGGGATCGTTGATTGCTATTTGGCCGTATGCTTATCTTTTGTGCTCGATTTTTTCGAGGTTGAAGTCACTAGTATCGGTGTCACCTCATCGACTGCAGACATTTCCTTTGCAGCATATTGTTCTTTGTAAACTGTTTTCACACCATCCATTGTTGGGAATTTCATCATCTGATGAAGGGTTGAAGGTACTGTCCTCATGTTGTGGATCCATGGCCACCCAAGAAGTGCATTATATATCATGTAGCCTTGATGACATGGAATTTTGTATCTTGGATGGTCCCCGCCACGTTCACTGGTAGGATTATCTCCCCCCTCGTTGTTTCGCTTGCCATGTTGAAGCCATTTAGGACTTGAGATGTAGGTACAATTTGATCCTGTAGGCTGAGCTGCTCTAAGACCCTCGATCTGATTATGTTTGCTGAGCTACCTGGATCTACTAGAACACGTTTAACTTGAATTTTATTTAACAAAATAGAAATTACCAAGGTGTTATTGTGCGGCTGAGATATGCCTTCCGCTTCTTCGTCATTGAATGATAAAATGCCCTCGGGCACATAGTTCAGAATCCGTTTTTCTCTGGTGATCGACACCTTGGTGCATTTGAATACGGGCCCTTGTGGAACATCGACACTACCAACGATCATATGGATTACATGTTATGGTTCTTCCTGCTTATTTTTTCTGTTTGCATCTCTTTCCCTGAAGTGGTTCTTAGCTCGATCACTGAGAAACTCTCGAAGATGACCCTCATTGAACAATCGAGCTACCTCCTCCCTCAGCTGCCTGCAATCTTCGGTCCTATGGCCATGTGTTCCATGATATTTACACATCAAGTTTGGATTCCTTTGAGAATGATCGATTTGTATTGGCCTAGGCCACCTGGTGTCTTTGATTCTTCCAATAGCTGACACGATCCCCAATGCATCTATGCTGAAATTATACTCCGAAAACCGAGGTGCTTCAGCGGGGTCAGTATGTTTATCAAAACCATTCTTACTCATAAGTCCCCGAGAGATTTGACCTCGATCATTTCTTCAATCGTTCCGAGGAATGTTATGCCCTGAACCATTATTTCTCCGATCAATATATGGCTGATACCATTCCTTGTTTGATCGTGGTTCCCTGTCCGTATCCCTCGGGGTCTTAACCACCAATCTATTAGGATAAACTGAACCCGATGGGGCTCCCAACTGGTCGTCCTCGACCCTGATCTTCAACTGGTAGTGATTATGTATGTCTGACCAAGTTACAACCCTGCATGGTATTGCCCAATCATCCGAGACCAATGGTAATTCTATTCGCTCTATCTCAAACCGGGATACAAACTCCCTTAGCATCTCATTGTTCCTCTGTCTTATCTTAAAAACATCTGATTTCCCTGTCGCCACCTTTATGGCCCCGACATGTGCTTTTACGAAGGCGTCTGCTAACATAGTAAACGAATCAATAGAGTTCGGGGGCAAGTTGTGATACCAAATCATGGCTCCCTTAGACAAGGTTTCCCCAAACTTTTTCAACAATGCTGATTCGATCTCATCATCATTCAAGTCATTTCCTTTAATTCCGCAAGTATACGAGGTAATATGTTCATTGGGATCTGTTGTTCTATTGTATTTAGGTATATCGGGCATGCAAAACTTTTTAGGAATGGGCTTCAGATTCGCACTCGGAGGGAACGACTTTTGTACGAACTTTTTGGCATCCAAACCTTTCAAGACCGAGGGGTTCCCCCGGTATTTGATCAACACGGGAGTTATAAGTCTCCATTTTTTTGTCATTATCCTCAATCTTCTTTCCCCAGACTCGATTCTCTTGGTGAGTTCCTCGAGCATCCTCATAATTGTGGGATCAGTCCTCGAGCCGTTACCGCTTGATCTTTCCGGTATCGGCTCAATACGTCGAGTGCTTCCTGGTTCAACTATACTTGGAGTTTTGTGTTGACTTTGAAGCGGAGCGATAACACTCTGTTGAGCTTGTAACATCTCGAATATTACTTGGAGGCTAAATCCCCCGTCTCCTACACCTTGAGTTCCTTGGCCACCAGTTCGGCCTTCTCTGCGTACACTCCCTCCGAGATCCGTACCTAAATATGCATTCAGAGCAGTGTGCAAACTGACATCGACTGGGTCGGCAACAGGCACTTCCCCAGGGTTAACCAATGACACTCCGACCCCTGGAGCAATTACATTGTCATTTTCTCCGTGGAACCCAAGACCGTCATCACCATGTACGAGTGCATTCTGTGAGTTTGACATGTTTTATCCCGAAAATAAAGAATCTTTGACAAGAACAAGTATGAAAATAACGTGTGTTATCAAAATCAGTACTGAAATAACCACTATTATCTTTAGCCCCACGGTGGGCGCCAAACTATTTACCTCGAAAATACGAGTAACAAGTAAATTTGATTTATGGTTTTAAAGATATGTGATTTAATTCAATACTAATTAATAACCAAGAAAACTAACTTATAGAAGAAGAAAGTAAGTAAAATCAAACCAGTGTGCAAAACAGTCTCGACCTCGAGCTAAGATGACCTCGAGGTTGGGTAAGAACAGTAAAGCAAGAATAATTAAGTAAAGAGACGATTCTGATGAAATATGAGCCAAAAAGTAAGAGAGTATATTCTTTGCCAATGATTGAGGATCTTTACAAATGATTGGGGTCCCCTATATATAATAAGGGAACCCTAAATAAGGTACATTTATATTTACAGTAAAGAATCTTATTGGGACAACTGTCTAACCGCCTAGTACGGATTCGTACAAATCTATTCCGAGATTTACGCCACGATCTTGGGGACATGGCAGGAATCTTGCTCATTCTATTACAAATCTATAGCGGCATTATCTCGAGGCTGGTCATATTAGGCTCCGACGTTCCTCGAACACTTGATTCTTCGAGCCTTGTACTCTGTCATTGAGCTCGAGCTTGGTCCATTGAGCTTGAACTCGATCCATCCTGAACTCGGGCTTAAGGTGACCCCTCGAGCCCGGAAAATTGGGTATACCTAATTTCGACCGTATACAACCTTATAATATAATTTTTTAAAAAATTATTAGGGTATACTGTATATAACTAAAATAAATTCGTCATCATTGAATACGAGTTAGTGGGATTCTGTTGACCCCAAGTCCCAACTAGACTATAATTTATCTTGGAAGCTTAAAGGCTAGAGGTTAATAGTGAAACCATGATCAATCACGATCAGCATGCAAGGTAAGGAGATATAAGCCAGCTGTGGGGTTAAATAATCTTACATAAACTCGAAAAGACTTGATTGGATAATGGGAACTAAATAATGCTGGACAGCAGGGTGTGTGTAGGGGTGGGGAGATAGAGAATTTGTCTTTTAAGTGACCATAGTATAGTGCAATAAAGAAAGTTCAACTTAAACCATAGTGGGCTGCTACTACGAATGAAACCGTTGTTTGTCAACTCAAAGACCTTTTCCACCTTAATTATAACGGTGTGTTCTCCCATTACACAAAAACATCTGGGAAGATAAGACTTGCCTATCATTGTGGTGAGAGCTGTTCATAAATCCTTGTCACAAACCAGCTCCATTTTCACGCAAAATCCATTTGTTGTATACCATGTAGAGAGAATAGTTGTTCAAAACGATTGCAGGGGAAAAAATGCAGTTTGTTGATCGGAAGAAGAATAGGTTGTCAGCAAATCCTCGAGTTACTCTGGCTTCTATTGAATCCTTGTCCGTACCACTTGTAAGTTAATTTCTATATTCTCTCCTTAATTTCAGCCATAACATTTTGTAGAAATATTGCAATTATTGTTAATTTGAGGCATGCAGGTGCAGGAAGTTGTGTTCTTGGCAGACTACCGATGCACCAAGTGCCAGCAGAGGGTGGCAGAAGTAATGTCAAAGATGAATGGTAACTTCTCTTTCCTCCTGTCTTATATAAGATCCATTTGTATTTTTGGTTACATATCATCGTGTACATATATAAAAGCCATATTCTTTGAAAGCAGTGGTGAATGAAGAACAAAACAATTAAATAAGAGCTTTTGCAGTAATTAGAAAGCAGAAAATAAATTTATATTGCTTTAATTCGGTGTTACAAAAGAAAAATTTACCCTTTATATAATAGGAGAATTTTATACCTAGTACAACTTTAAAAAAGGTAAAAATCTTCCTTTCTCGTTAATTAATTACTGATCCAACCGACATCGAGGTGCATTCTTAGCTACCATATATGGTGCAAAGTTGAGGATCGTTGCAGTGCACCCATCATTTCAGCTTTTGAGGGGTCCACATGAGAATTTTAAGTGGGCTGAAGTTATATGCGCTAGTCATGAATCATGATCATTCTATGAGGAGCTTTTCCAACTCTAAAATTCTGTCTTAACGGGTAGTAGTACATGTAAACATATCCTCCCCTTTGTTGACGACAATTCACTATTCATACAACTTGCTTTTTTGGACCACTACTGGGTTTGCATTGGATTCTATTGCTTTGCTGAATTCCCCAATTTTCAAGGAATCAATCACTCTTTTGTCACAAAGCATTGGATATGATGTCGTTTTGTCTTTAACGAACTTTCTATTGCTTGTTTGCTTTTTCCTTGGTCCCATTGGTTTAATTTTGGAAAATTTTAGCCCCCTTTCTATATTTCCCAGGAAAGCACCAACATTAAATTTAGTTCTACTTGCAGCCATGAAAATAACAAATTTATATAAATAAAAAATTTAACTTTTGACTAATGAATGGCTCTTAAAAGGTAGTAGCAGCGTCAGTTCAAGCCTTACCTTATTTGTTTAGCTTGACTATTGATCCCTTTTTCTGTTATACGGGCTATTTTAGCTGGTTTATTTATGCTTGTTCAGGCCAAATGGTAAGGACCATGAAATTTGCAATTTAGTATGCTGCCAACATTTTAAATTCAAATCTTACTCTCAACAGGAAATTGCGAACTAGGTCACACGGAATCACGACCCCAATTTTCCACCTTAGGATGTTGTGACTTTAATTATATATTATTACATCAGTTTCAATTTATGTGAACCTGTTTGACTGGGCACGGAGTTTAAGAAAAAATAAAGATTTTTGGAATTTGTGGTCCTGAACAAGTCAAAAAGAGACCCAGATTATTTGTGTGGTTATAAAAGTTTCTCAATAAGGTAGAATTGTAAGTTTAAGCTAAATTGTTTCCAAATTTAAAAAAGGGTCATTCTTTTAGGAACGGACCAAAAAGGAAATAAATTTACATAAAGTTGAACGGATTGGAGTAACATTGTACGGAAGACATTCCCTTGTCAAAACCCAAAATCGGCAGACAAATTTGTGAACTGAAAATCAAACGTACACCTGCTTTCTATTTTGAGGTCAAAAGTATTATTAACCTTATTTATTATCGGATTTGATTGAGACAAACACGGAGGAATCAATTTGTATAGCTAGTATTTATTTAACAGATGGATGATGATTCAACTACAGGAGAAACGGAATCTGTATTGATAAGTGTGCTGGAGAAGAAGGTGACTCTAACTTGCAACTTTTCAAAGGGACGAGTAGCTTCAATCTGCCGGAATCCCTTCAACAGATTTACTTTCCTGACGCGGATGTTCCTCTCTTCTTGCTGCTGATCAATATACGTCCACCTTAGATACATTTTAATAATTTCTCCAGTTAGTCATGTTATGCATTTGACACGTGTAATTAAATGTGCTACATGGATAAATAAAATAAAAGTTGTTACTCACATGTTGGAATTTCTCTTTTAGTTTTATTAGCTTTGGATTTCTATACCTTAATGGCTCCTTTGCAAGGATATAATAAAAATTAACAATGATATGTGCAAATTAATACCTAATGATTTAAATGATCTTTGTCTTTCCCTAATATATCTGAAAAAGTTTTGAGTTGATCTTCTTGGTTTTTTGCTGGGAACAGAGGATCGATGTGTTGAAGAAAGGAAAGGAAAATCACCCACTCCTTCAGCAAACATCTATATATAACGGATTATCTTTATGCATACCTATTACCTACATGTGAAGAAAGAGAATGAAAGAATCTTTTATACAAAGCAATAGAAGTCAAAAAAAAATTCCCCGAGTTTTTTTATATAGTATGATTGGAGTTTAAGAAGAATTCAACAGCCCTATCGTTTAGAAGAAGAAAAGAATTAGTGGCATGATAAATTATTTTAGGTAAACACCTACCGCTGAAAAAGAAGACGACAAGCCTATGTTGATTGTAGTGGTAGAATAACCAAAAATCAAGACAAAGTAGTTGAGAGAGACAAGCAAAGGTATGACGTAACCCTCATCCCAAAGGCTTCTTAGAGGACCGACAAATAGATTCCTCTTTGACTAAGGAGGTGTTTCCACTTCGGGCATAGAAATAACTGCCTTTGCTTCTGCCCTTTATTATTGCATAAAGGTTCATCATCCCCCTTTTTGAATTGACTTTTCATCAGAAAAAGATTTCTCCACAGATTGGTACCGAAATACCTTCTTTCATGTCTGGACAGGTAAGTATTCCAGCAGCATATATAGTAACATTTTCACACATAGATCTCCCGGGAATCCCCTCTTATATATCCATTCATTGACTATGATAGCTAATCACTTTTTGTTTGAAACAGAATTCTGATAAATTAATCTTGTAAAAAAACAAGCAGGTATGCATGGTGATGCGGGTTAATCTGGATTGCCCTTCTTGCTGCAGGAAAATGAGAAGAATCATTCTCAGAATGAAAGGTAAGGCATAATTAATATACAAATCCGCGATCCTAATTAGGTTAAACAGATTAATAAAGATTTTGTCTACAACGTAATTGTATGACTAATATGGTGTAGAAATAGAGATGCACCTGATAGAGAAGCAACACAACAGAGTGAGCATCTTTGGCCGGTTTGATCCAGCAGACATAGCCATAAGACTTAGGAAAAAAATGAAGAGAAGAGTTGAGATTTTGGACATTCAATTACCCGGTGATGGACTGGCCGAAGAGATGCCTCATGCCACTGATGGCCCTGATCAATCCGTTATGCAACAACCGTAACAGAGAATGACATGCTCACAATAGGAGAGGATGCTCATACTATATTAAAGTATTGGAAGGTTTAGCTTCTGTTTTAGTCCCAACAAAAAAATAAAATTAATTTGTTGGTTTATGCTAGTCTGGAAAAACTAAGGCCCTCTTTGTATACAATACCAAATTAATGTATGTTGATGTACATAATTTAGCTGTCTTTTTTTTCTTCATCTTTCTTACTTTCTTTTATTTTTTCCATTTATTGTTATTTTTTCACTTTATTCTTTTCTTCTAATAAAACTCTGCACTCTTTTTTGGTTTCTTTTAATTTTTTATAGTTATTTGTTCTTTTTATTTCTTCCTTTTTTCTCTTTTTTATTTCTTTGTAGTAACAATTCCTCACCTTTTTCACTTTATTTTTGTTGTGTTTTGCTATTTTTTATTTTTTTTTTAAATTTTGATCTTTCCAAAAACAAATTCATCCAAAAAACTTGTCACTCTTTTTGGATTTCTTTTTTAAGTATCATTTTTTACTTTACCTTTTCTTTTCTTGTAACCTTTTTACCTGTAAAATTCCTCTATCAAAAATTTTGTCACTCCTTTTTACTTTTGTTCTTTCTAGTTAATTGGTGGATCTTAAAATTTATATTGGGCACTTTTTGCACAATCACTTATCCATCATAATTACCGAGATTTACCATATTATATTTTTATTGGATTTTTTTCACGATCAATATGCTACTAGGTCGTGACTCGTGATGGCACCTAATCTAAACCGCTAGGCGAACTAACAGAAATAAATCTCATATATAACATCATAAGACTAAGATATATCATAATCAGAGTCATGCTTATTCAAATTTTTCATAAATCTAAATAAAGTAGGGACTTCAAAGTTGTTGCCCAGGAATCCAATGCACTAGCTCTTGGAAGCTCCATTCATGCTCAACTATTCGAGGAAGACGCTACCGATCCCTGAATCAAGGGACTATGCGCTTTCAATTGGCAACCTCATGATCGTGATTTGATCATCATTATGTGGTGAGAAAGTGGCGATAAACTTATGTTTGTTTGGAGGGATCATCATAAATAATTAAAGTGTGTCGTTCACAATACATAAAATAATTAGGCAAAGCTGATCCTGTATAAGGAGCAAGGTATTGTAGTGTAGTAGAGAAATTCGCCTTTTTGGCTGCCACGATAGTCTATTCCATCGCTCCCCCTTACCTGTAAAGTAGTTACTACATGGGTTGCGAAAGACATTTTTTGCCCAATAGCTACACAAACACATATTACATTTGGCCAGACTATAGAGCTGAATTGAAAAGAATCCGGGCATGCCTTTTCAATTCACAACTATGAGCGAGTATTTCTCTATCTCTTGCTCGCTTCAATCGGACTCTGAAAACATATGGAAGAATGATGGATCATTGACGAGGCCCATTATCATAACATAAGTCTAAGTATGATATAGTAAGTATAGAATCAATCATAATCATCCCTAAGAACTGGTGTCACAATGTGATGACCCGATAGGCCGTTTTGAGATTTAGCCTCTATTTCTGTGCTTCGTAACCTCGATTAGCTCCGTTTAGCACCTCTCGATTTGCATGCACAGTCAGTGTTTTATTCCGGAATGTGTTTATTTGAAAAATTGAAGAAAATATGAATTATTACCTTAAAAATTGTTTGAGTTGTCTAAGGTCAACATTTTGTATAAACTAACCCAGATTGGTATTTTGACGATTCTGGTTGGTTCGCATCATGATTTGGGACCTGGGGGCATATGCCCAAAATTGAATTCGAAAGTCCCTAGCTTGTGTTGACTCATTTTGCCGAAAACTAGCATTTTGAAAGTTGAAAAATTACCAAATTTGTCCGTAAGTTGACTTCTCGACTAACGAGTTCGAATTTTGATGCTGAAAATTGGAATAGTTATGTATTGCTATTTGAAACTTATATGCAAAATTTGGTTCAATACGGAGTTGATTAGACGTGATTCGGACGTCCTGATGTAAATTTGAGAGTTCTTAAGTTTCTTTGAAAATTTCATACATTTTGATGTCTGACTCGTGGCTTTAGGTGTTATTTTTATCTTTTGATCGCACGAGCGAGTTCATATGATGTTGTTATACTTGTGTGCATGTTTGGGTTGGAGCCCGAGGGGATCGTGTGAGTTTCACAAGTGTTTCAGATGAATTTGGATAAGATTGGAATAACTAGTGCATTTCTAGTGCTGGTGCTCTGCTACTGATCTTGCATTTACGAGGTCTGGCCCGCAATTGCGAGTCTCGCTTTTGAGAACACGTGTTCACATTTGCGAGCATGGGCTGAATTTGGTGGTTTCGCATTTGCGAACTGCCAGTGATTGCAATTGCAATCTCAAATCTCATTTGCGACTTAGTAGTCCTTGAGTGGTCTTCGCATTTGCGAAGAAATGGTCCGCATTTGCAAAGGTTTAGAGTTCGCTTTTGCGAACCAAATATCACATTTGCAACTTCTGTAGCTCTAAGATAGGTTTCACATCTGCGACCCTTGTCTCGCATTTGCGGTGTTTGCAATTGCGACATTCAGGGCTGGATACAATGGGACTTAGCTCCTTTCTCATAATTTCTCAACCCTAAACACCCCAAAGGCGATTTTTCAAGAGACATTTCTTCCCAAATCCATTGAAAAGTGACTTTAATCTATTTTGTTTTCAATGACCCATTTCATTTTTCACGAGATTTCAACATCAAATCTAGGATTTCCATAGTAGAAATTAGGGTTTTGGGTAGAATTGAGAATTTTTGTAAAATTGAGATTTAATCCTCGAATTGGGGTCAGATTTTGAAATAAATCACATGACCGGGCTCAGGGGTGAACGGGTAATTGGGTTTTGGTTCGAATCTCGGGTTTTGACCAAGTGAGCCCCTGGTTGACTTTTTCCAAATCATTAAAGCTTGAATCTTTTTCACTCGTGGGTATTTCTAAGGTTTATTCTGAATTGTTTAAACTATATTTAGTTAGATTCGATTAGTTTGGAGGCGAATTTAAAAGGAAAGTCCCTAGTAGAGCTTTGATTTGATTACGGAGCGAGGTAAGTATTGGATCTAACCTTGACTTGAGAGAGTTAGGAATTTGTAATTATGTGTTGTACGGATTATTTGAAAAACGACATATATGCGAGGTGAGGAGTGTATATACGCCGTCAAAATATTTGTTTCCATATTTTCTCTCATTTCATGAATTATCTCATTCCATACCTTTATTGTTACATACTTTAAATGCTTTTTGTGCAGTAATTTATTATTTGTCATTTAATTCTTCTTGAATTAAATTGTTCATCTCTTCCATGACTCCATGCCTATTTGCTGCTTGCCTTTAATTGTTTTACTTGCACTCCTTGAATGTTACATGCTTTACTTGTCCTTTTATTTTTGTAACATTTTGTTGCATTCCTTTGATTATTACATGGTTCCTTTATTGCCTTGCACTTATACTCGTTGGTTGTAGAAATTCTTGTAATTTGAGTTATTGAATTGTTTATGTTTATTGAAATTGTTTGTGGATCGGGTTACACGCCGCAACAGGAATTAAAGGATAATAAATTGAAATGATGGAATAAGGGAGGATTACGACATTGATAAATAATTATATGGTGGGATCGGGTTATGCGCCGCAACAGTTTGCGTACGTAATAATTGATATTGATAAATGATGATATCGTGGAATAAGGGAGGATTATGATATTGATAAATGATGATATGGTGGGATCGAGTTGCTCGCCGCTGCCGCTACTACTACTACTCCTGCTGCTGCCGCTGCCGCTACTACTACTACTCCTGCTGCTGCTGCTGCCGCTACTACTGCTACTGCTGCTGCTGCTGCTGCCGCTACTACTACTACTACTGCTACTGCTGCCGCTACGACTGCTACTACTACTACTACTACCACTACTACTACGACTACTACTACTACTACTACTACTACTACTACTACTACTACTACTACTACTACTGCTACTGCTACTGCTGCTGCTGCTGCTGCTGCTACTACTACTACTACTACTACTACTACTACTACTACTACTA